TGGCTCGCTCAGAGCACAGGCAGAGCAGCCTCCCCAGGTTAGGAATTTACTGGTTTCTATGGAGAAATGAGCGGTGAACACCGCTCACATGGAAGATATTTTCCTGTACTCTCTCATAATGCTGCATCATTTCTGACTCCGCCATTTTGTTAGCTTTTGGTTCTTGGATCATATGGTTGAACATCCAAAGAGTGAGGAATGGACGATCCATAACTTCTAGAGAGGACTATAAGTAAAACAGTCAATATTTCTTTCTCTCCTAACATGTGACAACACACAGATGCTACCGCTTTGAGTCAATAGCCTGCCTGTCCTGGATTTTCACTGGAATCATCAATATTTATATTACACTTACAACGCCACGATTATTTCTGAACTGCAGTTTTAATCTCAGTCTGCATCAGTCCTATTATAAATACCTGAAATTAAAATGAAAGATGTAAATCTTTATGCATAATCTTAAAGGAATTGCAAATTCAAAAGGAACAATTTAAAAACAGAGTTGCATTGGGCAGAGGAGCAATGAAGTTCCTGATTATGCATGCAAAGAACATCAAATTGTATTTTTGCAAACTCTGTCATAAGTTAAGTGATGCACAGAAATCCTGTATCAATAAATATTCTGCTTTACAGTGCGCCTGGATCATTGTAAGATACGAGATTATTCGAGATCCAAATATTTTAGATACCAATCATTTGAAGATTCGGAGATGTAAATTCCTGTGTAGATTACAGAGAAACAAAAATATAATTCTTAAGAGCTCAGCTAAGGCCACTAAATCAATTAAAAATTAATAACAAACATCCCCTTCTCCCACACACAAACTATGTCAACAAGAACAACTCATTTGGCCAGCAGCAATTACAGTTTCTCTGACGGACACTACACTGACTGGATCTTTTGTTTTCAAACACGGGACAAAACAAGTTCAGCATTTCTCCTCTCAAAATTTTCTGATGAATTCAAGCCCTCTCCTTCCCCAAGTTAGGAAGATATTTATCACTGGCTTTCTTTGGACAAAATAAGAAAAAAAGAGCATCTGCAACACTATATAGCTTAGTGTTACTTAGAAGCACTGAGCCTCACATCCATCTGAAGCCGTAGTCTTCCTCCGTGAAGTCACCTCCCTTCATTTAACACTGCTCTAAAATGTTTATGCCATTTAGCTTTTTTTAACTCAAGTTCCTTCTCATTTTTTGAGAGCAGCTGATTAAACCTGAACAACTGGGTTGTTGGACAAAATATGCTGTAGCTATGAAATGGTACAGCAGGGACCAGTTTCACTGTTAATTTAAAATGGTAGAATTAATTAGGTAGTGTAAATGAAGAATTTAATAAGCACACTTTACAACCACAAGTTCTGCTTTTATTAAACACCCCTGCCAAATGAAGGCAACTATCTTCAGTCTGTTTTTCCTTGTCTCATTCCCTTAAAATCTCTGCAGTGAAAAAAAAAAAACATTTTTCCTATTGCAACCCCTCCCCCATAATTAAAATGTATGCCTGACTTCCATCTCCTCTTTCAAGTCATTAGCATCTTTTAAAAATTCTACTGTATATCCTGCCTGTTCTGAGAAGCTACCAAACAAAACCGAAGTTTACAATTTTGGTTTTGAATACCAAATTAAAGGCTGTCTTAGAAGCTGTCATTCCTATTCAACTCAGTACGGTGTACTACCAAATTAGCATTTTTTTTTTTAGTAAAGGAATATGCTTGTTTAAACATGTGTCTTTCCAAAGCAAAGGGTAACATCACGAATCAATTTTCTTAAAAACCCTACTACTGTTCCAAGACTGCAAAAAAGACTTGGAGCAGATTATTATTCCTGACATATATTGTTTAATCAATTTTAAAATTAATAAAAGAGTTCAGATCATAAATTCTCTCAGAGGGATTTTGTACGTTTAACAGACTTTGTTTAGCTTTGAAATCCTTGAAAAAAGTATTTTGGGAGCCTAAACATTATTTCACAATATCTGTGCAATTCCTTAACAGGACAAGGGAAATTGAATCTTTTACATGAACCAGTTCAATCCTATCTAGCCTCAGAAATACATTTGAGATTTTCTAATATGGTTTTGCCAGGGAACTATGTAATGGTGATTATTTGGTTTACGACTTCTTTTATTTTTCCTGAAGCAATCTCTCTATGCAGCTAACTTTTCATTCTAGCTTTCCTTGATTTACCTGGTATTTTACCTTAGCAAGAAGGAGACAAACTTAATATCTATGAAGACAACCCGTATTTTTAAACGCAAAGAGTGCCAACATTTGTTTAAAGGCACACTACGACAGGGCACACTTAGCTGAGATTTATTAAAAACACAAAATTTTGAACAGAAACAATGAAAACTCCAAAAGCAGAAAACCTAAGTTGTTTCAGACCTTCACCAGTTCAGCAAGAATAGCTTAAGAATTTACTGTTTCTTCTGCAATACAGCTTTCACTGTCAAAAAAATCTACATTGATTTTTAATAAGAAAAAAGTAGAGAACCCCTGAAAAGCCAGTCATTCCTGTAACAGCCTACTGGCACACTTCCACCCCTCCCCTCCTAAAAAACATAAAAACCCAGAAAGCCTAACGAAGAACACACATGACGATCCGGAAAGATGAGCTGGGTATGACCTCAGTGCATTTCCATTTTACTCTCAGTGTTCTAAGAAGCTTTAGAAACATGGACTGCTTCTGGCAGAGGACTGCATTCGATTTACTAACTCAGAATTCAATGTGAGGAATGAACACGCATCCTAAAATTTAGTAATGCTGCACAATGCCTTGATAACAGGCCTGGAAACCTTGGCAGATTAAATTCTGTTTTCAAAAACGGCACAGAGACTTTGAAGGACAATTTTTTGTGATGGTTCTTGTGTACTTGTATCACTTTTTAAAACAACATGTAGGCTCCTCAAGCCCTTAGGGGTAATGTCCTCAAAGCATCTAAGGTTTTTTTAGAAAGCATGTAAGTTTTTTTTAAAGAATGGTTCCTTTAAAGTATTTTACTGATCATAAAGCTTTATGCACTTTGTATGGAAAGAAAAAGCATAGGCAAGAACTACCCAAGAATATGTCAGAAGATCATATAGGAAATTTCTGACATCCTCAAATACAGGGACAAAAGCCTGGAGATGGAATGAAACAAAAAGAATAATGTTCCTAGCCGATGAAGTAATGGCCCTCCGTCCAAAGACAGCCAATCCTCTGCAAAAGTAACACTGAATATCTAAAGTCTTGAAATTATATTGCAAGGAAATCCCCATGAATTTGAGGGATATGGGAAGCAAAAAAGCTCATGAAACACAGGACCTGCCATGATCAAAATTCAAGCTAGGCACACTAGACTCCTGCAGATGAGAGTCAGGTATTCACTTCTGTCTGAAATAACTGAAGTAACCTCCAATTTCATTTCTCAGATTATTTTCAGACTAAAAGAAAAACAACGGCCTTGAGCTAAACTGGTCTGGTGGCAGATATCAAGGGTGGTATGTCACACTGGGATACTGGGCCAGCTACACTTATAAAAGAAGAGGACTTCAGTTATTTGCATGGAAATTTTTGGAGTGGGAAGTTAAGTGATTTGTTTTTCTTTAAGTAGAAAAAAATAAAGAACAAATAAAAGTCAATTCCATTTTTCAATCTTCTTCATTTTAATACCCCTGAAGCTATGTCCCAATCAGAAGATATATTGAAATAGATACATCATGGTCAACGTGCTAAAGAAAGCTCTGCCGGACTACACTTGTGAAGACTGGAGCTGCCCTGCAGCTACTCCCATTTGTTGTGCTTTGTGTTCAACCAGGACACTGCTGTACGTCAGGAAGTAAACAGAAAAGAAACATTGCGTGTTTAAAAGCACTAAGCCGATCATCCTAATGTTACCAATACAATGGCTGCCAGGCTGTTACGGAAGTAGGTATGAAGATTTGTATTTGAATTCCTCATCTTTACATGGTGCCTCTTTCCAGAGAGCGCACACCCAAGTTGCCAGGAGCGCATCCAAGAGAGGAGACGGCTCTTCTGGAACCCTTTCCTTCCCAAGGCTGCTGCTCTGGGCTGAACGTAACAGCGCTGGTGATGCACCGAACAGCAGTGAAGTTTCAGCTGTTCCCTACCTACGGTGCGAGTAGACACACAACCTATAGAACTAACCTACAAAGCAGGCTATAAAAGCTGATTGTTCATCCCACCGTTTTCTTGTGCATCAGTGAATTCCTGGCTGTGGCAGCAAGGATACAGAGTAGGCTAGGTGCATCTGCACCGGTCCACCCCTCCTCTAGCAACAGTGAAGACACCTCTCTCCTCTTTGAGGTAGTATCTGTAATGGGAGGCTTTTCTTATTCTCAAGGCACCTACCAACTGGTGTCACTTCATGCAGAAAAGGATCATGGCAAATTAAAATGTTTTCAGGGAACAGAGTTCATTAACCAATATCCACAAATGTCCAAATTAAATCCAGAGCAGCGGCTCCCAACTACAAACCTCTGCTGTTCCAGAACGCCATGGTAAATAAGCTGTGATAGGCATGCAGAACCATCTTGACTTTACAGTGTTGTTAAAAGGCAAAAATTTGCTGAAGGTATGGTGAGGTTCAAAAGAAATAGTCAGAACTAGGAACGGTCAAGTTGGCTCAAGCCATTTATTTAGACCACCCTCCTACAACTTAAGCCAATGTTAAATAAAAACCAGAATGATCAGGAAAGCAATGCCATCATCTCAGCTCTGCTGCAAGAAGCTGCATGGTGTGTTACACACATGCAGACTGGCAATGTTGGTACTTCCCCTCAGATCTGTACGCAGGCTGAAAGACAAGGGGCTTCTCCTACAGTTCTTCTAGATCCAGCGTACATCATTGAAAACTAAAGGTTTACCATCTGAAGAGGTTACCACGGTATCCGCAGTACTCCCTATGCTAAGCACTTGCAATATAAGCACTGAGGTTTTGCTGACCCCAAATGTAAACTGACCCTGATGCACGTGAAGTCAACAACATAAGTGCTTACCTGTAATTTTGTCTCTCACGAGCTTGCAGGATTCAATTTCACCGATGCTCCCAAAGAGACTCCTGAACTCCTCCTGGGTCATGTTCTGGGGTAAATAGTTGACTATGAGGTTGGTTTTGCTGTCATCTGTAGCAGCCCCTGTCTGCATGGGGGAAGGGCAGTTTCTACTGTTGCTGGAGGGTCCATTGGTTGTATTGGAAGTAGGGCCATTCGACACCTGAGGCTCCATGGTGCTAATTATCTACATCAAAATAAGAGCAGAAGGGGAAAAAAACCCTTAAGTTTCATAGATACAATAGCTATTTTTAAAGATACTTACAAACGAATGAGTAGGTAGCATTCATGGCCAATTTAGATACTTCAACAAAAAAAACTCTGCTTGATTCCTCTGTTATTGTTGCAAAGTAGGTCATGCTAGTCTTTGGCTGTGAGCATATACTAAGATGCAGTTAAAAAAACCTCCTTTTTTGTTAATGCAAAGCTGATTTTTGCTTTCATCACACAGCCATTTTCACAAATGTAAATTTAAACCACATAAATTTAATTATAATTTAGGGTAATAATCATAATTAAAATTACAGTTCCATTAAATCAGATGAAGTAAGTGTATGGCTCTATATGAAAAGGTAAAATATTTTACCTATTTAATAACTGTATCACAGAGTGCAATGACAACAACATTAACCAGGCACAGTCAATCTGCAAAGTGTTATCATTCGGATTGCCTTCAATTAATAAACTCAGTGTCCCAAGACATACCATTTACTGGTTCCAGTGATGACCTATATTCTCCAGTTATATTTTTCACTAACGAATGACACCTCTTTAAATAATAAAGCCCTGGATTTGCAATCTTGAGAGATACAAAGGTCTTCAGATATTTACTGGAATCAAGACAGTTTAATCAGAGAAAGGCTTATCAGGCACAGGTGCAGGCTGGAATTTTAACAAGTGCCTCTATCTTGAAATGCGAAACTCCAATTTTCACAGAAGAACCTCAATTAGATCTTTCCAAAAAATGACAAGCAAGGATCCAGCCTAGCAAAGTGCGTGCAGGACAGCAGCCCCATTGTCGCCAGCACCACCGGTCACGTGAGTGGAGCCGCCTGCATGTTTATCTGCAGGCTGAGGACTGAAGAATGCAAGTTTTCATCCAAAAAGTGCACAGGCAGACAAAAGAAGCAGAAAAACCTGGGTATTTCAAGCCTCTTCTATATAGGTATTTGCCACCACTACAGCTTCCAGCCCATCTTCACTGTCACCAGGGCTGACAAGACTGAAGAATGCAAGTTTTCATCCAAAAAGTGCACAGGCAGACAAAAGAAGCAGAAAAACCTGGGTATTTCAAGCCTCTTCTATATAGGTATTTGCCACCACTACAGCTTCCAGCCCTGTCACCAGTGCTGACAAGGGAAGGACATCACCTTAGTCTCAAATCTGGATAAATTGAAGCAATGCAAATGTTGCCTTCTGCTGTCTACGGCGAAGTTTGCGATGTGCAGCTTCACTGTTCTGTCTTACCAAAGAGCATCCCTCGGACGGGCTCAGCCTCCCTCCATCAAAGACTCAGAGTCAGATGCAAACTGCTGCCCCAGGCAAGAGACTCCGCTGCCCAGGGACGGGGACAAACGCAGGGAGAACTGAGGGCTAAGACACCACACACTCTGAACCTTGTGTTCATCTGATCCTGTAATTATTATAATTACTCAAGACTTAATTTGCTTTCTTTTTTAAATCCAGGGAGGTACATGTTGTGACAAATTAGGTCTGTAATTCAGGAGGATGGGGGGACACACCAGAAGAGGGGTGTCTATTCTAAAATTAACTGCATGAGGGTGGCTCAGACTCTAAATAGGTTATATTCTGGTCAATTCTATTTTTATCTTTTTTTTTTTTAATTGAAATGCTTCAGTGTTAGTTTAATGCCTCATTTAGGAAATAACCCTCTTTTTAATCAATGGAAATAAGTTTTGAATTACCATTATTTTTTATTATCAAGCCCAGGAATAGCTACTTGGTTTAACAATTTTTAAATAAAAAGAAACCTTGCCACATCATGCTTAACAGAAAGGCCTTAAACCACACAGCAGAATCATTTTGAAAATAAACTCCACAAAAACAGTAACTTCTTGAAAGGAATCAGCACGTCCAAACCAGAATCCCCCTGCCAATTTTACCAGCCACGTGGCAACCAAGCACTGCTGACATCTTCTGGCAAGCTGTACCAGCCCCATAGAGTTCCTTCAAGACTTTCTCTTTTACCCGGTATCAGCCATACTTCCTCTTTTCAATCTGACTTCATACATGTATTTACTCACACATACTACTAAATGCTTCAGATGCTGCTAAATCTGTTCAGCTCGGGATTCCATCCTTTGATCTCTGCACCTCCGTGGCCCCACAGCAGACACCGACGCCAACCCTAAGCTTTGCTAACAGCCTGTTGCGGGGCCGGGGTTTTGCACCCCAAGGCTAACGCGCTTCAGCTCAGCACAGTGTGCTCAGATCCGCTGTATCTGCATCAACTTGATTGAAATTGGGGAAAAAAAATTCCAGTTCTGACAATAAGACATAGTCAGAAGATGAGTGAAGCAGCTGATATGGTTAACTGTAGCTTTCCATGTACAGTTAAATCATCTGACCATATCCTTTGCAACATAAAACACCCACAAGGTAATCTGCAATTTTAGGGACTGATCCTGCCCTTCTAAAGCCGATAGGAATACCACACCACGGGTTTCAGTTACAGCAGAAGCAGGACTTCAGCACAATACACTGAGGAAGGTACATCATCTATTCTTAGCAACAGACACAAAAGCTAGCTATAGTTCCCCACGATAAACAATAACCCTGGATCTTTTCAAATCTGTGAAAGAAAACAAAATTCAAAACCGGCTGCTGTCCTACTTACGCATTTTGCAACCTCTTTTTAGTCACATTTTCAGCATGCTTACCTTCCACACCAAGCAAATAAACAGAATTCAACTCAAATATTTAACACATTCAGAACACTAAGAGTAAGCTGCTCTGCAAAAATCTGTTCTCGAACAAGTAGATTTCCTCATATAATACTTAAAAATATCTTGGCATAAACTAATGTTGCACCACGTGCCCAGGTTTTCTTCTAGTTACTCTCACTCAACTGCAATTAGGTTTTCCTGACTTTTCAGTAGTAGAAAGGAAAATCAAGGCACTTATTTGCCCTTCAAATTATTGCAAAGTTGTAGGTTACTGAAAATCGATTTGCTATATATGTCAAAAAAATGAGATAATGGATAGAGAGAAATGCTGAAGAATTATCAAAAACATTTCTGATAAAGTATTTAAGATGTAATTTTTTTACTGCATAATTTTAAGTCTCCATTTACAAAGTGATTTCTGTGCAAAAGCAGTTACGTACCAGGGCTTGCATTCAAAGTTCTTATGGGCACAAAGGAATAATACTTATTTTAGATGTACAAACTAATTCACATCATTAGTAAAGACTTAAATTATTAATGGTAACAAAAAGGTAAGTCCTCGCTCTTCTTTCCAAACACTGTCCTCTCGCCTGCATGTCTGAAGCTCAAATCCGCTGTGTACACTGAGTACAGTGTGCATGCATTGGGACATTTATTGTCAACGACTGTTTTTAATATTAAAGTAGCTGTTGATCCCAAGTCAGTCAGCACATAAGAGTAACATTATTTATTTGAAGAATAGATTTCAACATGCCATTTGCTGTTTTTTCTATCCACAACACTAAGAATTAGATATTTAATTCAATACCTGTATCACAAGATGAACATTTTTAAGATAGATACTCTAGTTTCCTGGGCACACAGTTAACTTTCATTATGTTTTAATTACTGATAGTAACTTTTTTTAACACAAGAAAGTATTGGGCTGTAATTCATTTCTACAAAGATATTAAAGGAGGCTGTAAGTCTGTCTAACTCATCAAGGGCTTGTTTGGATACAGGCAAAATAAATGTGGAAAATTCAATAGTGACTTAACCCCCCAAAATTTTATTTTTTTAAACAAAATATACTCTTATCCCTTGAAGATTAGTATCACACCTCTATGCATGCCACTTAAAATTAGCAACATCTCTATGCTTCTCTGACCCAATTTTGGCAGCTACTACTGGTCCTGAAATATTACAGTGCAAACGTCATGTGTGATGACATTCATATGCTACTGGTACGAAGAGGCATTTTATTTTGGTGGGTTTTTTTCTTTTTTTTTTTGGCAACAACTTGCCAGACTCCCAATACTGCAACACCATGTTCTAACAGTATCTTTGAAAAAGAGTAAGTTGCAGTTACTGTTGATAGACATTGATAATTTAGCCACCAATAATTTGAATATTCTATCTTTATAGCACTGAGAAAATACTATCTGTGACAGAATTTAAAGACTGAAATTTTGTAACTTAAAGGCAACCCATATTTCAAATTCTGGATATATTTCATCAGACTGCTGCTTTTAAAAATGACTTCTTGGTATACTACTTTTCTCAGTATGGTAATATATCAGCAAAGTACGAGGTATTTTAGTTTGACAGATTTCACAAAGAAATGCCTTGCTGCTGGGGAAGACAGCATAAGCTTTGCCAGTGTTTTGCAAAACACTGCTTACCAAAGGGCTTGGTATAACCCCTTCTACAAAATATCAGTGGCAAACAGCCATTATAGCAATTTCTGTATTACAAATAATGTTTCAGAAATACTTCTCTATCATATCTTCATGTTTTTTTAGAATTAATTCAATTAATTTCAATTTAT